GGCAAGGATGGCAGCCGAGGAAGGCTGCCCCTCCTGTTGCCCCTCATCTATCACGATAACATGCGCATTGTTGAGGAAGGTCTTAACCTCACTGTAGGAGGCATATCGCAGTTGCAACGCAGCCGACCCCTGTGTGAGCAGCAGCATGTGAGCGCTACTGACCGAAGGGGAGGCAAGACGCGCACTGCGCCCCGTTACCCCGGGCTGAACCGTGGCGATGTCCCCAAGCCCTGCCGCTTGGTGCTCACAGCTGCCTCGGTGAAGGGCACATGGTCAAAGCACGGGTCGATCATTTCAGCATCGCCGGAGACCCTCCGCACAACAACGAGCGGACGCAGCCATTCTGGGGCATCGGCCAAGAGGTTGGAGGCGATACGCACGACTGCGATGAGCGCTGAATGCTGCTGAGCTGTCCAAAACACAGTTTGCTCCAACACAGCGTCCATGCAGACCAGAGCGCACCACAGGGAAAAGGTTTTGGAAGAGCCCGCGCACCCCAAGATGCTAAGCGAGCTGCGTCTTTGTGCCCGGGCGGCCAGGATGGCCGATATGTGTCCACTCAGGAGTCCATCCGGACTGTTGAGCAACTCATCGATGTGTCGACAAAAGGTCTGTCCCATGAGGGCAGCCAAGGTGTGCAACTCAGGTGGGATCAATGCCGCAGGCAAACGCCAGTTTTTGCTGAAGGGATCCCGGGGATTGGAGCGCTCAGCCACTGGATGAAGGGCAAGGATGCGCTTCTTGAGTGCGACAAACTCGGCCGGCGTCAAGTTTGGGGCAGCTGGGAAGTGAGGAGCGCGGGCGGCCGCCTCCACGGCTTGCAAGAAAGACATCACAAGGTGCCCCTCAGCAGCGAAATGGCACCGGGGCCTCGGCGCAAGCTGGGTGCACGGCCGGATGGGCATGCCTATGGCCAGGAGGACACGCGCCGCAGGCATCTTCAGTACTTGCAAAAAGACATCGAGCGCCCCCCCTACTTTAATGCACGACAGACTGCGAAGGGAAAGATCCCAGCTGCAAACGTGATCAGGTTGCGGGGGGGCCCCAAGGAAAGAGGGCCACTGGCGGATGAGCAGGAGGGCAGCCGTGGGGTTAAGGCGGTTTTGGCGTCGCTCTGCCTTGCGTTGCTCGCGGTTTTTTCCACGGACCTTTTCAGGAGCTACCAGTTCTACAAAGACTGCCAGGAGTTGCCCTTGGCGAAACTCTAACCGCAGAAGACAACCCTCGGAGGGAAGCCGGTTACCGCTTTGGCGATGCGAGAACCAGCCAGTGTTCTGCGATGGCGTAAAGCCATTGGGACACGACAAGCCAAGCACGTATGTGCCAAAGCTGAGACAGTCCTCCACCTTCAGCACAAGCGGTAGCGCCTGGGTGAAGCGTCGGGCGGTGTCCTGGTGCGACATCCGCCGGTTCTCCTGCCCAGTATCCTCAAGAGCAGCGCCCTGGCTGTAAACATGAAAGTGCAGAAAATCCACCACACGCTCGAGCGACAGCTCGCCGAGGGAAGTCTGCACAGGAGCGGGCAATGGCAGGTTGACCGACTTCTCCTCTTCATAGCATCTAAGCCTGACTTCCTGAATGATCCAGGAGCGCAGCTCCGCAACACAATGTGGCAGGGAGGCTGCCGTGACGGTGCGGACAGCCTCGAGGAGACGCGGCGGCAGGGAGTCCATGGAGACAAGCCGCTTGAGCGACTCCTCAGTGACGCGGTGCGGGAAGAGGGCAGCCATAACCCTTCCAACCTCACTATCTACAAGACTCCGACTACGGTAGAAGTGAAGGGAGTGGAAGGCCCACTCCAGTTCTTTCTCCAGGCTACGCAAAGGGAGGAAGGCACGTGCGGCGGTGACATCCACCTGGGCCGGCAGGGTTGGGCTGGCACGCAGGAGCAAGTGGGAGTAGTTGTGACACTGAGGCCCAAAAAGCTCTTCCGTCACATTGAACAACCAATGCATCCTCCTGCACGTATACCTGGGGCGACCCGTATGGCGGCCCGCGCAAACTCAGTGGGCACCCAAGGGCACAAAAAGTCTTCGCTGGCATGGATGATGCGCAACCGACACGGGAGGCGCAGAAGCCCCGCGAAGAGCCAATCTGGCATGCCAACGGCCCTAATGTCCACGGCTGGAGGCGCAGGCAAGCCCACGGGTGGGAAATGGTTGTCGCCCCATAATTTGCGAAGAAGCACACCCACCAGGCCAGTGTAGCTGCCGCCCAGAGAAGCCACGGACAGTAGGCCGCGCTGAGCCGATACTTGAGAAGGCAATGCACAGGGCCGCCATTGGACGCGATGAACTTCACACCCAACATATAGCGTGTGCTAACTGGATGACCGGCAGGAGGGAAAGCAAGAGGCTGTATAGCGACTCCTGGCGCTGAGCTGCGCCGACCCGTGGGGCCGTAGCACTGTGTGGAACACATGGATCTGAAAAGCCTAGTAACGATAGTTTAGTTGCTGCCCTGTCTCGACCTCAAACACCTTAGCAGACCCGTTAGGGTTTCTTTTCTGCTCTAGAATCCTTATCTGTGTTCCAGATACTAAGTCTTGCAAATGATGCACCAAAGAAAACAAGCCATCTGTATACCGGCAACTTTATGACCCAGTATAGCCCCCTACTGAACCCCTGTTCGCCAAAAAAAACTGCCGATAGATAGATGCCAACAGACGAGCTGCAAACATAGAGGTGTTGCATCGGCTAAAATGAAACCTACAAACTCCAAAAGAACTTTGGCAGCAGTCCAGGAGTAGTCCAAAAAGGTTGCCTCTTTGTATCAAAAAACAAATTTTGGTCCGAAAATGAACCAAAAAAAAAAAAACAGCAGCCTTTATCCGCATATTTTTTCGCCAAAAAAAAAACAGCTTTTATACACAAAAAAAAAAAAAGCAGCCTTCATACGCAGATTTCCGGATCCTGGGTCCCAGGCCAGCAGTATAGAGATTTTTTCAGGCGTTTTTTTATCCGCAGATTTTCAAATGTCTGATTTTGGTCCAAGACACCGAAGGCGCCTTTATCCGCAGATTTTTTAACGCCAGAATTTGGTACATTTCGCCAAAATTTTCGCCTAATTTTCCACCACAGATTCAACCCAGAAGCCTCCTTTCCGGCCTGCTGCGGCGTGTCTGCGCACCAAAGAGCGAAGCTCTCCCGTTTGGAGTCTGGGACGCGTTACCATTATCGATTACCATTTCCTGGTTTTTTATGACTCTCACCTTCTGAAATGCACGGCTTATACGTCTAGAGGTGGAGGAGCTCCGTTCTGGTGGGCCGTATCGGGTTTTGGCCTGATGGGGGCCCCGGAATTCAGCGTTGTGCCCCTGAGCACTTCTTTCACAAAGACTGGCACCGGCACCTGCTCAGTGTGGGTCAACACACTGATAGATGCAAGCGGCACTCCTTGCGGCTGTTGAACCGCAAGCGGCGATCAGCTTTGACTACATGTTGTATCTCGAGCTGTCTAAGAGTCGCTGGTTCCGAGCACAGAGCACGAATGGAGAGGTGCATACCTCGCAATGCTAGCGCCAGTGCCACTTGGCCAGTTTTATCGTCGCACAAGCCTCAGATTTGTCCCTTTTTGCATGTGAAAGCTTGGAAGTGCTTGCGGTGGTTGGTCGTCGGCCTTGGTTTCGTCCATGAGCTGAGACCCTTGCTCCAAGCCTGGAGGTCGGAGACGGTCGGCGCTGATAGAGAGACGGACAGCCGCCCGCCAAAAAAGGTGTGCGGCCGCTTGGAGCATCGACACTTTATTCCTTGACATGCGTAAGTGTGGGCTGCCAGCACGTCGACATACGTCGATGTACATTTTGTGACCCCTGCGTGCCCCTTCTCTGCTCTGTTCCATGGACTGAGATGCCTGCCAACGTCAATATTCCAGGCTTTGACATGTTTCAGATTACCTTGTCAATGGACATCGACCCGCTCTTTGTCACTTTCGCGCTGACTCTGGCATCTCAGCGGAAGACGAACTGCGTGGTCTTTGAAGGGCGCATTCGCCGGGCATGGGTGAAATTTCTTCCTGATGATCCCAGGGGTGCGGACGCCGTATCGTGCACGAGACATGTGACATGACGAAACCATGTGGCATGGCTACCAGACTTTCATCCGCAAGGGCACCGAGTGAAAAATGAAGGACGTCAGGCCAACGGCCTGCTCGGTTTTTTTTTTAAAGTAGGGCTTCGTGGTTCGCCACCGTGACCCAGAGTTCTGGCTGTTTTCTCTCGCGAGCAAAAAAGCCCGCTTCCTGCTCGGTCCGTCGCTCGCATTGCTCTTACCCCGCTTGCATGCATGCCACTTGGGCTCAGACTTGCGGCGCTCGTGGCCGCTTTGCCTCCGCCCTGCTCCTGCGATGGCGGCCCCTGCCTTGCCTTTGGTGTGGAAACGCCTTGACCAGCACATTAACGTTCGCTTATGGCGACCTCTGTCACTTCGACTTGACGACTGACCCCGAGTTTCAGCTCACCCCGAGTGACATAGATATCGTTCTCATGGCGGCGGTGGGCATGCGCGCCAATCTGGTTGTGATCGAGCTGCACCATAACTGGCAGGAGGCGGGACACGAGACTGTGAGGGTGTGGTTTCAAGCAAGTTGACAGCGTGGTGGAGCAAATTGCACATCATCGCGACTGGGACGCCGTGGCCGTTGTTCGACGGAACCAGAACAGCGGCTGGAGTCCGATTTTCCGAGCTATGCCGCCGGCAGAAACACAGCATACCTGGTTGCTCGCGTCGCTGCTTCGGGGGTCGCCTGCCCGGAGCTACAGAGCCTCAGCGACCGATCCAAAACAGCAAAAAGCCCTGCGGTCCTCCCTGGTGCTGCGTTTGCGCGCTCGGCTACTGAGCATGGCTCTGTCCGTATCTGCTAGCTGCGGCGCTTAGACTTAACCCTCGCCTCGCAGGACATGCAGCTCGCGTTGCTGCCCGGCTTGCACTTACCCCTGCCGCTCAGCGCAAACCATTGCAGCCGCAGCCCCAGCTGCGGACAGCAGGACGGGTGCGGAGATTATGCCTTCGCCTGCTCCCGCAAGGTGCGTAGCCCGCGAGACGGTCGGTTCTGACGGGTAAGTCGTCTCTTAACAACGGCTTGCACACTACCGCAGACTTAGTCGTCTACGGCGCCACACCGCGGAAAGGCACACTGTGCTGCGATGCAACTCTCGTCTTACCTCTCGCACGGACGTGGCATCCTCTTTGCTCTTTTTATTGAGCCCTGTTTCACCTCTGTTTTTGTTCGTTTCTTCAGCAGGCGCAACCGCGTCATTCTCAGCGATCTCTTGGCTGCGAAGCAGAGCAGCTCTTGTGCACGCGCGGACAGGAGGAAATTCCGAGATCTTTGTACACAGAACACACAGCTCATGTTCTGTCCACCCGTGAAACCAGCTGAAAAAACGGCGAGCTTGCACTCGCAAAAGTGCCTGTGGAGGACGGTGCCCAGCTCCCTGAAGGGCGCGCTGCTCTTCTGCTCTACGCCTGCAAGGGGCCTCTTCAGGCCAAAAGCAGCAAAGCTGCTTTCCGGAAGGCCAGCCTTTTGGACTTTTGCGGTTGAACGGCGGCCTTTCTACGGCCATCGCTGGTGTCTCTGCAACTTGTGGCGGTGCGTCGCGAAAGTTGCTCCGCGAGAGTTTCAGGAGGAAGCACATAACATGTTTTTTGTTTTCTTGAAAACCGGATGCAAAGACACCACACCAAGTGGCCCTTGGAGAGAGTAAACAAAACAGAACATTGTAACACGACATAAAATGTTTCAAGTTTCAACATTGCAACGTTCTCAAAATTTCAATTGTGTCTTGGTGTGATTCTTGTTTCTTGAAGAAAATGTAGCCTTGCATTTGTGGACTTGGATCGCAAGCTGGCTTGAAGGCCCATTTCTGAAGTTTGAAGTGGCGCGGGCTTTCAAATCTCTTTGCAGAAAAGTGTGTGCATTCATAGCCGGCAACGTTGTGTCTTGGCCAACGCATTTCGGTTGACAGCAGCTCAAAAGCAAGTAAATTGGCTTTTGTCTTTCAGTTGACATAATGAATCATAAGCAATTCAAAACATGCTTTGTGATGCCCGTAATGCTCAATTTTGCCCTACTCAGGATTGGAGACAGCGGGTTGCAGATATTGGGACACACAAAACACGGTGGGCTTTTGGTTGACAGTGAAAGCAAGCTGTCTGATGTTGGTAAAAGAAAGCAAGACTGAAAAAATGCGGCGTTGTGGAGACTGGGGGTAGAAGATTCGTGCAAGACAATCTATTTGTCTTTGCTGGCCTCAACAGATTTTGGTTTTTGGCTTTTAGCATTCTTGGTGGTAATTCTTCGGAGTTTCGATTTTTATTTTTCATACGAATAACTGCGAGCCGCAAAACATTGCCTGGTGTGTTTTTTTTAATGTCTTTCAAACAGCTTGAAAATCACATGTTTGAAGTGTCGTGTAGTGGTCACTCATGCAGTTTGTGTTTGTTGCAACAAGGGTGCAATTTGATGCAAGCTTATTGTAAGTTTTGCTGATTTTCAATATGAGAATACTGATTTGTAGAACTGCTAAAACGATCGATCAACAAGTTGCCGCAAAAAAGCCAGCAAAGAGCTGTTGACAAGCAGTGCGATGTTAGGACCCCTTGATCAGTGATCGGTTCCCTTCGCCGTTTTTGCACAGCTAGAAGTTTCTGTATGCAGCCAAACCATTGATGTGCTTGGGATGGCCTCCATTGCCATGAGCCCAGATGAGCGCGGATTGTTCCAGGATGCGTCATTGTGTTAACGCCAGCACAGATATTTTCGCGACGGTTTGACACCGAGGATCCAGCTACCCGTGACAAGATCTTGCAAGATCCGCAGGTGTTGGATAGCACGTACATGGACCTGCCGTGGTGTTTTTTGGTACATTCGATTTTGAATCAGGTGGGATTCAGCAATGTGTCCCTTTCACCGGTGTTTTTTCTGGTATCGAAATGCGGGGCTGGGATGCTTATGCTCGTGGACATATGAAATGCGCAGTCACGAGGACAACCATGGACAACCGGTGTTGCTATCGAATGTTGTAGAACAGACATGGCAGGTGCAAAATGCCGTCAAAAAGGCTGGCCAGGACTTTGTGCTTTAAACTTGGATTTGCAGGGTCTCGACTCGTCGGCCACGACTTCAAAATGTTGACACAGCAGGATGCGCTGAGCGATCCTGCTGTGCAAGCTCAGATCTTGAAGGTCGCGCAGGAGAAATTCCCAGAGGCTGGTTAGTTGGAATGTGTTGTAATAAACAGAGTCAAAACGGATTGGAATTGCGTGGGTGATGAGGCTGCAAGTGCAGCGAAAGATAAAGTCCTCGAGTGGGCCAACGATCCAGAGGTGCACCACCCCTCGGCCAACATATTCCATGCAAAAGTGTATTGTGCAGGTGCAGAAACAAGCATATGCGTATGCCGGACTCGCAGCTGAATATGCCTGGCAATCCGTCAGCCAGGCACCACATCGTCCCACTCACAATGGTTCCTTTTTGTGCCCAGTCTTGTGAAAGCGAGGTGGGTGGTCTCATCGAGCAGGGACCGACTGGAGTACGGGCACGGGTCCTGGGTCGGTGAGTTTGCTTGTTGCACCAAGAACAGAAGATGGCACTTCGAAGCCCACGATCTTCTCATCATGTGACAGTTTCTCAAAGAAGAGGTGCTTGCCTTCGTTGGTGGAGCCGGTGCATTCGCACAGAGCATCTGGGTTTTACTTGGTGTGTGGCACTGAGTACATCGGCAATTTCACGAGCTGAACTCGCATGATCATCTCAACAGCACTGCCGATTGCCGAGTTGATAAACATCGCATCTGCGTCAACTCAGCCCGACCCCGAGTTCCGGTCAGAATTCGTCGTCCCGAGTTTGCCAAGAGAGTAGCCGGTTGTCAGCACTGGACTTGGGAGTTGCCACAACCGACAGGCTCCGAAGCACTGCACCGGAAATGCCTGCAAGACCGTGTCGGAATTCAGGAGAAAGCATCGGGAACCTGAAACTCCTGCAATCCTTGGATCCATGAGTGCTCGTTTTGCCCTGGAGTGGGCGTGTAAGTTGGCATGTGCTCGGATCTTATTAAGATCCTCCAACCTGCCTTTGCCAGAAGGGTGCATTTTCAATACAAGATGCTCCACTTCTGAATGTGAAAGATATTTCCGAGTTCTCCCCTCACCGTTTCCCGTTACACAGGATCCTTATTATAAGAACCCCAAAATAAGGTACCCGGTCCCTAGTTGTCGGAAACTCCCCAAGTCAAGAACCTTCATGCTACTACGCTTGTCTTTCCGATCCAGTCTGGGAAGCACTGGAATCAAGAATTCTTGAAAAGTCCTCAGCGCCACATGTTCTAGAGGCAACCTGAGCCAGTGTCGCCTTTGGGGCCTGAACCGGAAGATAACTGAAATGACCGCAGAAAGCAGTGGTGATCGGAAGGACATTCATGTCGAATGAGCGCGATTTAGATGCTAGATGCGGGGTTAGGAGTCGGACTGAATGCAAAACTGCAGCAGCACGATCTCTTGTTTACCTTTTGGGATGACCTGAGACATTGGACTCGCAACTGGATTGGAAGCACATTTGGGGTCCACGATACTTCCGAATAGAAACGTCCGGGGTTTTGAGAGATCTGAACTTGAACCAGGCATACACCTACCGACACACTGTATCAGCACTCAGCTTCGAATTCGAAAAGGAGAATGTAGGGATGCCAGCGGATGTCAGGATGCTAGCGACGATGAATCTCAGCTGCTTCTGCAATGCTCACCAAGCTCTACATTGCTAGAGTTCCTGCCTAGCCGGCCCTACAGGCTCCATACACCCGGTACTGCTTTAAAGTTTCATAGCTCGCATTGCCGACCAGTTTAATCAGGGTCCGCCGGTTCTCACTCTTTTCAAACCCTCAAAGACCCTTCAGACTTACCTTCTTGCCTGCCACCGTCTCAGTCAGAACCTTTGATTTACTGTCGTCTCGGTTTAGGGCTGGCCTTGATTTAGGGTCAAGGGTTTACACATTGTAACGTTTTTCCAGGTTTTCAGAAAGAATCAGAGCATCGGCAGGGGCAGAGATAGGTACAACGGTAAGTTTTACGGACGTGATCTGGGAGTTCCCGATATCCATGTCACGACCCCAGATCCTGGAATCGGATATGTAGCTGCCCATACATAGAATAGAACAGCTGTCGAAAAGAAGCAATTTCCAGGGCATATCTCGATAATCAATACACGTTGAAAACCCAACTGTCTGAAAGTGTGCCATGGGCAAATCGGACTTTGGTGTTTTTCAGATCTTGCTGGGATCCTTGCCCGAAATCCGAGCAATGCAGCAGTCGGTGGTTCGCGAATACTGGGTGATCATGTTAGGGGTGCTGCATTCGTTTCTGCAAGCTTTTTGCCATATATTTATGCCTCGGTGTTGCAAGTTGGTTTTTTGCGAAGAAGAGCGATTCCTGGGCTGCTTTCGTTTCGCTGCAACGCGTTGCAACCCGAGCAAGCAGACAAAAGGAAGACGGCGAAGGATAATGATGGATATTGCCGATAGTGCATACTGTGTTATGAATGCCGATAGGCACGAAATCTGTATCCGGAGACGAACATCAGCATTAGAGTCTAAATCTGTGGGTGCTGGAGACCGGAGAGGATGTCAGTCTCAGTGGTGCTGTGTCTTGTCCGGCAGTGGTTCAGTATGGTCCAATCATAGTCTTGTAGATCAGACAAGGTCATGTAGGCCTTGTGAAAGAGTTTTTGATCCGGTGAGTCCAAGGCTACCCAAGTACGTGGTGCATGGCTACCAGGCGAGATCGCGAGCATTTTTGTAAGCCGCGTGTGGGTGAGTCTTGCTGTAATCCTCATGCGGCTTGTGGAGATCCCGTGAACCCAGCCCGTTCACGCAGACTTTGAATGCCCTTTGCCGTTTGCACCTGACACCACATCGTTTGCATTTGTCGCTCTCTGCTGACCTCGCCTTCCGTCCAGCTCATCTTCGCCTCCACCACGATGCTCTTCGAGGCATCGTCGCGCGCATTTTGTATTGCAAAGCTTCCGAGCCAACGGCAATCTGCTTGCCCAGAGGGAAGTTACGGGGGTCCTGTGCCAGGCAAAACCTGAGTGGATCCAGAAAGTTCCTGGTTTGAACAGCTACCAGGATCTCCTGATCGACAAGGCCCTTTAGTGCAGGTATGTCCTCAGCGAATGATGCCTGTTTGTGAGCGTGTTGCTGTTTGGGGCTTGGTTGAATCACAGTAGCCTGCCAGCCGTAAAGTCGGCTTCCAATGTCTTGGGGGCATTTGCGCTGTCTGGTGAGGCAAAGTTCCTGGCCGAAACTTATGGCCGAGGCTGTGCGGAGTTTTGCACCTTCCGGCACACTCCGCCAGGATCTAGTAGGTTGCATTTCAGCTGGTATGGTTGCAAGGTCTACAGTCGACGGCTCGTGAGTTTGGCAAAGTTTTCCGGGGCTACTTCCAGTTGGTACAGAGCTTCTTTCAGTTGCAACAGAGTGCTGATGTAACTATGTGTTACCAAAGTGACAGTGCATGGTGCGCAGTTCATGCTGCAACGCTTCAGGTTTGCAGGGTGACGGTGCAGAGTCTTGGAAACCACCTGCTCAAGTAGACGAATGCTAGGACTGCTAGGATCCTCCCCATCCGAAGCTCGTGGCGGGACTTAGTACATGGTTACTCCAACTGCTTTGGTTTCCTTCAATGGGAACCTTCATCCACAGGAGACATCTTGGCTTAAATGGCTTAAACTGATGTGGTTCTTCGTGTTGAGCACAAACTGCAGTGTTCCGGCTTTGGCTGAAGGAAAACACGCTGCCAGAGGTGAAACTGCAGACTTCGTGCTTGTGGAACCTACGGTACAGTTGTTGAAAACTTTCAGACACAGAAAATCCCACATTGAGGGGAGTCCACATGTCAAAGTCAAAACCACTGCTTCGACCGCAAAAGCCGAGTTGGTAGCAGGCAATGTCACGAGTTTTTTTGTTTCCATGCAGCTTTCGAAGGTCACAAGTCCGGATTTGGAGCAGGCTCTCTGGTTGGAGTGGTAGGAAAAGTCTATTTGGTGTCAGGCCTCTTCTATGGCTTCCAAGGTTCTTGCCTGAGAGTGTTTCGAGAGCGTCTAAGGTGCTGCACACTGTGCAGGGCCAGCTCTGGGGATGCCTCTGATGCCTCTGTCCTAGGTACTTTGTTCCTTTGCTTCGCCAGTTTCACAAACCTTGCCGAACTCGCGTCTGATCCTCAGTTTTTATTGAAGTTTGAGGGACCAGCTGTAGCTACTAGCTGCAGTCAGTGCGGTTTGCTTTGGGCTTGTTCATCGTAGAAGCTGTTGGTCGAGCCACTGTGGCCGCTCATCAGCTTTTCCTGAGGCTTGGATGTTGGTTCCTTTTCATGGCCTTTCTCCACATTGCTATGCATTTCGGCATCATGTGCCAGCCTGAGTTCTCTGGCGCGAGTGTCTCGAGAGAAATCTTGTGCTGAGCTGGGTGTGCCACCGTTTCTTCACTTTTCTATCGTATTTCTGATCAGAAAAGCTGGCACGTGCCAACCCAAATTAAAGGTCTCGCATTCCTTATCTGTTTGGAGTGTCCCGAGGTTGTTCGCCTCTGATGCGGTATGTGGCACGCTGTTGATTTGACCGGCACGTTGCTTCTCACTTCTGGTGGCGAAGCATGCTTCGACTTGCAATCTTAGATGAACACCACCTGCGACCCTGCGGTGTGCGTAGCATCAAAGAGTTGAGTGTTATGGATACGATCGGCCCAGTAAGCGAGCCTCAGGCATAGCCATAGCGACGTGTAATCGTCCTGACAAGGCCCCAGGAAGTGGCCAAGAAGATGCAGGAAGTCGCTTGGTGGAAGTATGTCCGCGCGTGGTGGGAAGGGCAGGTGCCGGCTTCTTTCCAGCTTACCACAGAGGCTCTTCGGAAGGAGCTCACTCCACATTTTCTTAGGTGAGGCAGATGGTCGCCACGGGAGCTGCCTCGGCAGTGAAAGCAGTCGCCTCTGAAGGCCCGCAGAAGGACTGGGCAAGGGACGAAAGCGCTTCACGTAATATTAGGAATCTCGGCGGCGACCGTGTGCAAACGATGTGTCGGGATTATCGAGATGATGCATCGTGCACTTGGGGTTTGCGCTTTGTGATGCTTACTGTTGAGATTTATCAGGTCTTCTAACTCGTCGTTTCCGCTGAGGTGCAGAAGAGTTGCGACGATACGTTAGCATCCAAAGCAGGATGGCCAGGTGGTTATTTCCAGGCGATGCTATGTATGCTGAACCCAAGCATCGCTGGAAGGCTGCTTTTTCGGTAGTCCAAGGTCCGAGCGACATGGAGTTAAGGGTTGTGACACAACCGACTTCAGTGTGGGTTGTCTGCATCTCGAGACCCCGACGGTTCCGCAGAATAGCAGGCTCATCGGGCGATCCGGCATTTGTTCGTTTCCTTGTACCAATCTTCCATCGCGGGAGTCACCCGCGGCCTTTGCTACAAGCTGGACTATGATGGAGTTCTGTGTGTATGGGTGGTCTACATGAGTCAACCCTCGTAAAGTCCTCTCGATGCATCATGACGCAAGAATGCCGAAAATAATGCTTTTGTTGGCACTTCCTCCTCGCGCTTGCCCCAAAACTGTTCCCGCACACCCTCCAGAAGAGAAGGCGACATCCAGAGCTCCGAAACTTGGAGAAGTGTTCAGGCAGTGACGAACTCAAGCTCGGGGCATTCAACCCAACACACACACACACACACACACACACGGTCACACACGTGGGTTGCCGGAAGATTGGCGGCGGAATTGTGGCGGTGAGACTCAAAATCTTCGGGACTGCTGCGACAGGCTGCGAGTATCCTGCGCTGCTTTACTTCGCTGGCTTTTGTGAGCAATACATGCGAAGAATGAGCTTGTTATGCCGCACAAATGAAGTCATCCATGTCACACAGCCGTGGGAGCCTCAGACTTTTCTTCCCACCGATCATTCCCTTTTCCCATTGTGATGGCAACATGGGAGGAATTTATATCCGGTGTTGAGCAATCACCTCCATCTGCTGAGATTCGCAATAGGGTGGTGAAAGCCTTTACGGATGATCTGAGAGCTGCTACTCCCTGGGATGCTGAAGGGCTCTCTGAAGACTCCTTCAACAGTTTACTGCAGGATTCTCCTCCTGCCCTGGCCCTTGCTAGAAGAACGTTGAGAAACGTGGAAGCAGCAGCAAAGGCTAGAAGAGTGCAAGTGACACAGTCCATGAGCTTGACAAGTGCCGCCGGGGTATCTGCAAGTGCCAGAGCATTGGCGGCCGCCATGTCGCCGTTGAAGACGGCAGATGCCCAGGATTTGCTGAAGAAGGCCCACTTGCCAGGCTTGCAGTTCCACTTGCAGCCAGACCAAGCTCTGTTCGATGTGCTCCAAGCGCACACCGATGAAGCGCGGAAGACGGGAAGAATTCCTTTCCATTTCGTTGACCTGACGGCCAAGGATACGCTGCCGTTGTGGGTGCCAAGTGACGGGGTGGGAGGCAAGTTCTCTTTGCGCGAAGAGGAAGAGTTAAGCCTGGCTAGCAATTCTCCGATTGGGAATTTGGGTGATCTGACAAGGGTGCTGAAGAGCGCTACGTCTACGACCAGGTTCTTTCGGTCAGTTCCGCAGTGGACGGCAGCATTCTGGAGATGGGCGGTGGCGGCCATTTCTGCAGAGCACATTACGTTGGCACAAGTTCTGGCTCATCAGGACGTGGTGTTGTCGATTTGTGAGCAAGAGAGGCTCAGATCTCGACCGCCATATGCGGGCTTTTTGTACGATGAAATGGCGAGAAGACAATGGGCTCGCAGAGCGGAGAAGAAAGATCCTTCGTTCGACCTCACCGCTGAAGCGCAGAAAGTTGACAAGGATCTGAAGGAAGTGGTCATGCAGAGGCTCGGGACAGTTCTGCGTTTGGCAGAGCTGGAGCACGATGTGATGGCAACTGCTTCAGGATCCAGGGTAGGAGAGCAGCAGTTGTCTCAGCAAATTGCTGCTGCAGAGGCAGCGCAGAGGAAAGCGGATGCTGTTACGAAGAACTTGGCATCAGCTCAAAAAGACATCCTTGCCAAAGCCGCAGCTGCAGCAGCAAAACCGACGAAGGAGAGCGAGGAGACAGGTGAGAAGCAGCTCACAGGCAAGCAAAAGAAAGCGCAGAAGTGGTTCCTGAAACAGAAGGAGCGGCGAGAGCAGCAGCAGTGGAACCGTGACAAGCAGAAAGGGTCTTACTGAAGTCGTGAAGCTGTGGAGCTTGCTAGTTCCATCCTGGAGCCGATTCCGCCAGCGTTGGCGGATTTGCCCGGGGTGGGCACGATCGCAGAAACTGCTGGCGAAGATACGTTTCTTGAGATTTTCTCGGGTGACTGCGTATTGACGTTGGCCATGTCATTGACTGATCTAAAGACTATCCTTCCGTGGGACCTGCGTTTCGGAGCTGAGTTTGATGTTTTGGAACATGGCGACTTAATTTTACAAAAGTCAGAAGCAGGTGCGCTGTCTTGGGTGCATCTGGGAACTCCTTGTCAAACCTTGACATGGGCTAGGCGGCCTCAGTTACGAAGTACTGTGCGCCCGTTTGGTTTGTCAGAGCTGTCTAGGCGCCAGCTAAAGCTTGTTGCCAGAGGCAACGAGCTGGCGTTGTTTTCCTTGAAAGTGTGCCAGTGCCAGGTCAAAAGCGGCAACTTCTTTTCAATTGAGAACCCTGAGCTGTCGTGGTTGTGGATCCTCCCTCCAATGATTCAGCTGAGAAGGAGTCAGGGAGTCGGTACTGTGAGGGTTCTGTTTTCAGACTTCCAGGTGCCTTTCCACAAGCCTACAGTGTTCGTGCATAACTCTGCTTGTTTGCATGAGTTGGCGAAGGGTGAGTCGTCTTGGCAAGGTCGCACAGTTAAGTTGCGAGGTCTGGCCAGGTACAATGGAAAACTGCAGTTTCGGACCCGTTTGTCACAATGTTATCCGCCTCTCCTTGGCATCAAATTTGCAGGTCTGGTGAGGCAGACCTTGTTGGATCAGCGAGAGAGCGGAAGTTGGGAAGCGTGGTCGTCATGCGTGGATGCTATGTCATTCCAGCTCCCGGACAGTTTGCGCATTGCTGAGGCGGAAGTTGTGGCGAACTGTTGTGGCGATTGGATGTTCGTCCCGCATGGATTGGGAGCAATGAAGGGGTTGTCACCACTTGAGCATGTTGCTTTCTCATTGTCTGTATCCCACCCGTCTGAAAGTCGGAAGCAGCTTGAAGCGACGCTAAAGGATGCAATTGAGTTCGAGTGTGGGCATGAAGTTGGTGAAATTGATGCTTTTCGTTGCTCTACTCTCAGTAATTTCTTGAGACTGCACGCAAGCTTGCAGCAGGAGCACCTTGAATGGGTGCGTCAGGCACCAGCTGCGTTGCAAGGGCATGCTGCAAAGATACACGGCCCTTTGTGGAAGGTCGTGTTGCAACAGTGTGGCATGCCTTGTGAGCAGTTTTTGCATGACTTGCAGTTTGGTTTTCCCCTCGTTGGTGATTTGGCAGCATGTGAAGGAGAAAGCGTGGCTTGCCAATTTGAGGCCGCAATTACTGTTGAGGAGCTTGTGAACAGTCGGCATGATATCAATGAGAGGGTCATTGCGTCAGTGAGCGAGTTGCCTTTTTCTTGTGATATTTTGAGTCAAGCTTTGCAAGATTCGGAACAAGGTTTTATGTCGACACCACGGGCCTTTGCTCCGGGTGATGCTTCACATCTGTCTTTGACGAGACGGATCCCTGTCAGAGAGGAGCGCTCGAAAGGTTGGAGGACCAGGGTGGTCGACCATAGCACTGAAAGTATGGTCAATGCTGCCACCGTTCCTTGCGACAGAATCAAACATCACACGTTGGATGATTTGGCGGACATGGTAATGTGCTTCTTCGAAAGTAGCTGCCAGGTGTGCTTGTGGAAGGCTGATATTTCACAGGCATTCCGCCGTGTCCCCATCAGGACTGAACATATGCAATTTGCATGGACCGTGTGGATGCACTTAGGTTGCTTGCTCGTGGCGCAGCACACAGGTATGCCCTTTGGCACCGTGTCAGCAGTTTACGCTTGGCACCGTGTTGGTTTCATGTTGTGTCATGTCGTGCGGGTGTTGTTTTTGTGTCCAGCAGCCAGATACGTTGATGACTTTTTCGGAGCATCACGCCGTGGTGTTCGTTGGCATGCGGGACGTGTCCTTGCAGTGATCTGCAAGTTGCTTGGTTTTCCCGTTGACGACGATAAATCAGCAGAAAACGACATACGGTTGATAGTCCTGGGCGCCGAGTGTGAAGTTGATTGGCCAAGGCGTCAGTTACGCACTTGCGTTGCCCCGGCAAAGGCAGCGAAATACAGATGCCAGCTGCTTGGTGTCATAGCTGGCGGAGTGCTCACACCAGGTGACGCTTCCAAGTTGGCTGGTCGCTTGTCCTTTGCTGTGACAGTGTCGGGCAACAGGGTTGGTCGAGCATTCATAAAGCCGTTCCATGCTCAGGCAAACCAACCATTGTTCAACAATGCTGTTTCTCCCTTGTTGAGGCAGGCATGCAGTTGGTTCCTGCAGTACCTTGAACACTGTCCCACTTCCGTGCGTCTGCTCGCCCCGTTGACGCGGTCACGAGTCGTTTCGTGGACCGACGCGTCTGGTGAGTCACGGTGGGTGGCTGCAGTGTTGTACTACGAGGGAACGTTCTTATGGACACGAGTGCGCACGCCCGATCGAGTGTGGCAAATGCTATTGCCGAGGGAGGATCACCAAATAGGTTTTCAAGAGTTTCTCGGCGTTCTTTTGGCCTGGACCACATTCAACAATTTTCTGCGAGGGAGTTTGTGGATGGCCTTTGTAGATAATGACTCCGTTCTTCATGCTATCACCAAAGCAAGCGGAGGAACCGCAGAAACTTCTTTGTGTATAGGGCGGTTGTGGCTTGAAATAGCTGTAGCTGGAGCTGATCTCCACTTGGGCCGGGTGGAAAGCGCGGCGAATGTCGCAGACGGTCCTACGCGAGATTCTTTCCAATTCCTGGCTAATTTGAAAGCCACGTGGGTCGAACCCAAGCTGCCGCTTTGGCTAGAGAACTTCTGGGAGATTCCGTCTGCGGGATAGTGTGGAAAGACGAGGGTGTGAGTCAGTTCAATTTTTTTTTTGTCTCATGTCAGTTAGCCTT